ATATATATATATATATATATATATATATATATATAAAGGGCTCTGTATAAAGTTCGTTTGTACGGGTCTGCATGCATATATTTTAGGGCATTGTTTGCTGCGTTGGGTTTAAATTTATTTATTATTATTTAAACAATTTAATACATAAAGCAAAGTTGGCCAAGAAAATATATTGAAAGAGTTGAAGTAGCGGATAGTAAAGGCATTAAATATATATATCTTCTGATGCGTGTTTGTCTGTTTGTTTGTTCATTTGTTTGTTCATTTGTTTGTCTGTTTGTCTGTTTCTCCCTCTATAAATAATTAGAGAGGAGAGACAATAGATTTAAAGCTAAGCTTGTGCAATGAATAAACTGTTGTTTACAGGGATATAAGAAAGAAGATATCTATATGAACGCAATTAAAATTCTTTCTTTATTCCCTTTGCCTGATTCGCAGCTCCTCCAGCCAATGTCTTGAAATAACTAAAGATATCCTTGATACAAGGACAAGGAAGAAAGAAATATAATGCACACCCCACCACCAGCAGCAGCAGCAAAACCTTAAAACAGCAACCTGCTATGCAGCAGCAGCTGGGTTTCTCCTCCCTGCAAACGCATACGCAGTATATACAGCCAAATCACTGCAAACAAATATACTACTAAATAAACAACGAGTTAAAACAATATTTAACACTTCTTTTTCTCTCTATCTTTGCTGCAGCAACCACACACAGGAGGTGAGGGATAAGGAAAAAGAAGACCCAGGGGGGAGGAAATGAATTGAAAATAACTGATGAATGCATGCAGAAACAGAGGAGTCTAACAGGGTGTGTTTAAACATGAATAAAGAGAAGACGAGCACAAAAGAAGAGAAACAACAAATTACGCATGGAGCTGCTAGCGCCTTCAGGCCCTCCCCAATGCAGCACAAGAGAAGACAGAGAAAAGCAACAAAAGAAGAAAGACTCCATCTATTCTTTTCTTCTGCATGCACTTTAGATCACCTTATTATGTGCAAATAGTAAAAGACGAGGACCTCCCACACACACAGACAGAAATGCATGCAGCCGTCTGCTACGGTAGACGACAGCACAAGAGGCGTCTAGACAGCGGAAACTACGGAAAAGAGTCAAACATTTTGAAATCTACGAAAGAAAAAACAAAACATACTTCTTTGATCTCTGCTTTCTCTCCCTTGCTGGAGCCGAATGCTGCTCAGCCTGCACATGCTGTCCGCCCTCCTCTTCTCTTGTTTGCCTCCTTGTGGTAACCATCTTCGAAAAATAAATATTAATTGCAATAAGGAGAAAATAAATAGAAAGAAACAAACAAATGCAGCGAATTTACCCCAAACAAGCCCCAGGTAGACCGGCCTATGTACCGCGGCCGGCAGGTGTGGTTTCTGAATAGTAGGGCGCTCGCAAGAGGTAATTAGGAGTTATATTGCTCTATTCCCTATGAATACTGATAAATAATGCAACAAAATAAAAGAAATAATAATTAAATTCATAAATCGAAGCAAAAATAATATAATTATACCCATTGGCATACACGCCGCCACGCAAACACACAAACACACACCTTCTGTATCCCACCGTCGTCTGTGCAGAAACCGCACAGCAGCAGAATGCAGCACATGCAGCGTGTTAATTTATACATTAAATTGCAGTATTTTTGCAGATAATTTAAATAAAATAAGAATAATGATTATTAAAAAGGTATTTTACTAAAGATCAGCGAAAAATAGGCACAAAAACTCATCAAATATCTACAGTTGCTGTCGGCATCCTGTGGAAACCATCCAGGGGCTGGAGGGGGTTCGTCTTCCTTTTCGCGTATTTTTGCCGCAGGTTTAGCTAAATAACATAAAATTTCAATTTACTTCTTCCTTTTCTTTGTTTTTATTCATCATATTTTGCTTTGAACCCGCGCTTTCCCCCTTCAAACGTTATCTCATCTGCCCGCATTTGCAACATGAGGCGTACAGGGGCCTTCGCACAGCTGTTTATGATTTTTTCTTCATTTTTTGCTGCTTTTTCAGCAGCAGAGGATTTAATTATCAGCGGTTGGCTGGAGTTTCCGGGAGGAAGGCCGACAATACCCCTAGGCTCGACGTACAGGGTTACATTACAAGATATTTCCCTTGCCGATGCGGCGAGCGAAACGCTATGCGTGTTCAAAGGCAACGCCGAGAAGGCCAATGATGGCGCTGCACTAAACTTTGAGTTACGGCTGAGCGATGAGGAACGACAAAGAAGAAGGAATAGACATTTGGCAGTTGCTGCTGTTGTAAACATTGGCTGGGAGGCAGAAGACGGAGGGAGCGAGTGGATTAGAAGAGGAGATTTTATGAATGAATTTGTTGAGACAGTTCATCACTCAGACGAAACAAATACTATTGACAACTTTATCGTACGCATGCGTCAGGTTTAATTCTTCGAGGGCTCGGTAGAAAAGCTACTGCAGCAAAGAATGCATCACGCTACCTGCAACAACCTCCCCCCAGACGGGAACAGGTCTTGCTGCAGCAGCAGCAGCAGCAATAATAATAATACACGCAGCGCCATTTGCTGCATCAGCAGCAACAGAATGAGCTTTGCAGCGTCGTTTTTTCTAATGCTCTAACGGTGCCATCTATTTGTGGGCTCGGCAGAAGCGGCTGCTGCAGCAGCAGCAGCAGCAGCAGCAGAAGCAGCAAACTATGAAGTAATGAAGCATATGTGCGATTTGTCTCATTTTGAATTTCAGTCATTAGTCATTTGCCTTGCCAGTGGGGGAACACCCACTGACTTTGTTTAAAACTCTTCTCCCTTTTTTAGGGTTTTTATATCCTGAGACATCAAAAACATAATTATATTTATTTTATCTTTTTGCGGAAAGAAGATGCACAAAGAATTATGCTGATATATATTATTCTAAACGTAAATTACATTCTACTAGTTACTAATGTGTGCTATTCTTTCTCATACAATATACCTACTACTAAATAACAAGCATGTAAAATAGTAATAATAATATTATATACGGAGAAAAGTGACAATTGGCGGGGTTCGAACCCGCGACCTCCAGATTAAAAGTCCCCCGCTCTACCAACTGCACTACGAGGGACTTCGCTTTCCGCTTCATTTCTGTTTGTCTTAGAATAATGAATTGCTGTTTATTTTGTTTGTCTTTTGCTGTTGTGCATTACTTCTGAAGAACTTTTCTTTATTATCAATAAATATAATTAACTGCTACTGATGTTGTTGATAATAAAGAAAACATTTTGCAGAAGTATTATTTTCTAGCTGTTCTATGATATTTGTTTAATATCATCAGACTTCACTAACATAAACGGAATAATTACACAACATATTAAATGCATGCAGACTGCATGCATTTTAGCTTTTATAAACAATAACATCTGCAGGGAGCAGCAAAAATAATAAAAGCTGCTTTTTGCTTTTTTATTTTGTCGCTGCTAAAATAAAAAGGAGGGAAGTGATGTGTACGTACTGCAACTCTGTATATCTGTCTTATGTTATATTATGCATTATTTATTAGATTAGTCGTTATAAGGCATACACCAAATAAAGAGACACAGAGCTAGCTGCCTATACACCTGAATCCACTTCCTCCATCTTTAATGCAGCAGCAGCAACAAAAGCAGCAAGCTGAGAAGAAGACAGCAACAACAGAGCGGTTACTGCCGCCGTCTTCATACAAATACCAAACCGCAAGCAGCAGCCAAGCAGCAGCGGCAGCCGAGCAGAAGCAGCAGCTGCTGCAGCAAATGATACTCTTATTTTTGTTTTTGCTTCTAGATATATCTGCGTTCGATGCATCTCTGCCTTCCCGCCTCAGCAGCAGCAGCACAGCACATAAAAAGACAACAGAGGGACTTCACATTTGTAAAGGTTTTAAATAAAGCTCAGATGAACCTGCTGCTGCTGCAGGTAGCGGCAGCAACAGCAACAGCAGCAGCAGCAGCAGCAAACGCGCTGTCAGGACACCTGGCGAGCGCAGCGAAGAGAAAATAAACAAGCAGCAGCAGCAAATGAACGCAGCAAACAGTAAAGGGACCCAACAGTCTGCAAGGAAACAGGGAGATATGTAACTGCTGTTGTTGCCGCTGCACAAGCTGCTGCTGCTGTCGTTGCTGCTGCACCAGCTGCTGCGAATAATGGGCGTCCTGCAACAGCAACTGCTGCTGAGAGCTACTGTAAAAGATGGAGGGGACCTCTAAGACGGTCAACCAACGACTAACTCAATTGCTGCTGCTGCTTCGGCTGCTGCTGCTGCTTTGGTTGCTGATCCTGTTGCTGCTGGTGGTGCTGCTGTTGTTTCTGCTGTCGACGGTGCCGCTACGGGTGCTGCAGTCGGTTGCTGCTGCCTTCCTGTGACGCGAGAACTGGGGCCTGCTGCTGCTGCAGCAGCTGCTGCTGCTGCTGCAGCACAGGGTGGACCTGGCCCTCCTGTGTTTCCAGTCTTTGCTGCGTTTGCTGCTGCTGTTGCTGCAGCCCCTGCAGCCGCTGTTGCTGCTGCTGCTGCAGCTGAGGCAAGACGTGGGGACGGACCCCAGAGATGATCGCCGCGAGCTCTTCGTCAGTCAGCTGAATTGGTGTAGGGCGCCTCGGTATCATTGCAGCAGCAGCAGCAGCAGCAGCGGGCAGCAGCAGCAGACAGCAGCAGCAGCAGATGCAGCAAGCAGAAGTAGAAGATAAAGCGTCTGTCCTGGTTATTTTGTGTACATTAAATCAACAAATGCGAGCTGAAACTCAGTGCTGCAGCAGCAGCAACGGCGGCATTTTTGCTGCTGCTGCTGCTGCTGCTGCTGCTGCTGCTGCTGGTCCAGGGCCCCCCAAGCAGCAGCAGGTCGGCTGCGGCAGCAGCAAACGTTTTCCCCACTTGTTTTTCATTTATACTTTAATTTTATTTATTCATTGCAGACACCGTGTGCAACGGAAGCAGCAAAAGGGACGAACAGCTGCTCCAACTGCTGCATCAGCAGCAACAGCAGCCGCCACAGCAGCAGCAGCAGCAGCAGCTGCAGCGGGGCCTGGCGCCAGGCCTGCACCTGCCGCCTTCTCCTCCCCGCAGCAACACTCCTTCTCGCAGCCACAGGCTCAGCAGCAGCTGCTGCAGCAACAGAAGCACGCCACCCGCAGCAGCAGCTGCAGCAGCAGCAGCAGCAGCAGCAGCAGCGTCAACATCCATAGCTCTACATACCCACCAAAGGCAACAGAACATTTAAAGCAGCAGCAGCAGCAGCCTCCACACAATCAGCGGCAGCAGCTGCTGAGAAGCAGCAGCACCAGCAGCAGCAACTGCAGCATCTGCAGCAGCAGCTGCAGCAGCAGCTGCAGCAGCAGCAGGATTGAAGCCAGAACCTGCAGCTGGAGAGGCCCCTGAAGCGGCCTCGTCGCCAGTCAAGGGACAGATAGCAGCAACAGCAGCAGCTGCAGCAGCAGAATCCAAGCCAGATCTGCCGCCTGCTTACTGCGAAGCAGCAGCAGCAGTAGCAGCAGCAGCAGCAGCAGCAGCAGCAGCAGCAGCAGAGTGTGTGTGTTTATGCTGCGATGGGTCTCGGACAGAGCAGCGAGAGACGGAACAGCCGCCAAGGCTCTCTTTTAATTCGCCCTGTATGCATTATCTCTTTCTTTTATTTTCTTTATCATATATATTATATATATATCTTTATATATATATATCTTTATATATATCTTTATATATATATATAACTCTTTGTCTGTCTCTTTATCTGTTTTACTGTCTCCCTGTGTTGGCACTCCGTGTGTATATTTGTCTCTCTATTTGTCTCTTTGTCTGTCTCTTTATCATTATTCTCTCTGCTGCTGCTGTTGCTGCTGCTGCCGCTGCTGCTGCTGAAGCTGTTGATGCTGTTGCTGTAGCTGCTGCTGCTTTAATTGCTGCTGCTGCTGCTGCTTCTCCTTTGCTGCTGGTATTGCTGAACCTGCTGCTTCTGTGTGTGCGCCGTTGCAGCAACAAGTTGTCTCTCTGCCCAGGGGGGGCCTGGCAGTAAGTGTTTGCTGCTGCTGCTGCTGCTGCTGCTGCTGCTGCTGCTGTTTCCATCGCTGCTCTCACGCTGCTGCGGCTGTCGCAACAGTTGCTGCCTGCAGTTTGCTGCTTTCCTTTCATGTGCTGCTGCTACTGCTGCTGGTGTTGCTGCTGCTGCACTCGAACTGTATGCGCGGCAGCTTCAGCAGCAAATGTAGGGGTATCAGCAGCAGCAGCAGTAGCAGCAGCAGCAGCAGGCGGTTGTTTGCTTGTGGGGTGTTTGCGCAGAGTGTTGTTCGCGTTCCTGGGCAGCAGCAGCAGCAGCAGCAGCAGCTGCCTTTACCTGGTTTGTCAGTACAGAAGACGTTTGTTGTCAAGAACCCGATTAACCTAATCAAGTCTTCACTAGCTGCTAAGCTTGTCAGCCAGTACTCTGCTGCTGCTGCTGCTGCTGCTTTGCTGCTGCCTCTCCTGCTGCTGGTGCTGCTACTGCTTCTGCTGTTGCTGCTGTTTTTGCTGTTGCTGCTGCTGTTTCTGTTGTTGTTGCTGCTGTTACTATGCTGCTGCTGCTGCTCGCAGCAGCATCAACACAGAAACAGCAGCGGAAGCAGTTATGTTGCCTTCATCTGCTGCTGCTGCTGCTGCTGCTGCGGCTGTCTCCTCTTGCTTCTTTTTAACTTTGTTGTCTCTTCGTTTTTGTTGTCTTTTTCTTTTGTTTTATTTCCTTTAATCGGCAGCAGCCTGAAACCCCATCCAGTTAATACCTGCTGCTGCTATTGCATTGCTGCTGCTGCTGCTGCTTTGCTTCTTCTTTGCTGCTGCTGCTGTTGCTGCTTGTTTTGCTGCTTTTTTTGTTGCTTTTTTCTATGTTTGCTTTGTTGCTTTGCCTCTGCTGTGGTTTTGCTGCTTGGTTCCTGCTGCTGCTTCGTTGCTACTTCACTGCTACTGCTGCTTCACCGCTGCTGCTGCTGCTGCTGCTGCTGCTGCTGCTGCTGCTGCAGGTATGTGGGCGTGTGATAATATCTTTTCGCCTTGACTCGCTGGCTGAGGTGGAGGTTCGGCTTTTCTTCTTCCCGAATCCCCAGCAGCATGCACTCAAGTAATCAATCCTGCTGCAGCTCTTGCTGCTGCTGCTCTTGCTGCTGCTGCTCTTGCTCCTGCTGCCCTTGCTGCTTCTGCACTTGCTGCTGCTGCACTTGCTGCTGCTGCTGTTGCTGCGACCGCTGCTGCTTCTGCTGCTGCACGTACTGCTGCTGCAGTTGCTGCGGTTGCTGGTGCAGTTGCGGACTGCTGCGGTTGCTGCTGCTGCTGCTGCTGCTGCTTCTTTTGTTTTGTTCCCGCCGTTGCTGTTGTCGTTCTTGCTGTTCCTTCTGCTGTTGGTAGTGCCGCTGCAGCTGCTGCAGTGGCTGCTGCTGCTGCTGTGCGTGTGCCCGCTGTAGCTGCTACTGCGGGTGCTATTGCTGTTGCTGTTGCTGCTGCTGCTGCTTTTTGCGGTGTATGTGCAGCGGCGAGCCTTCATGCCTTTTTGCTTCTTCACCCAGAAGATTTGGTGTGGGGCTGCAGCAAGTGTTTGAAGCCTCTACAGACGGTCCGGTGCTGCTGCTGCTGCTGCTGTTGCTGCTGCTGTTGCTGCTGCTGCTATTGCTGTCGCTGCTACGCCTGTTGCTGTGGCTCCCGCTGCTGGTGCGTAGGGGCTGTGCTTGTTGCTCTGCGTTGGTGCTTGCTGCTGCTGCTGCTGCTGCTTCTGTTTGCTGCGGAGTGTCGCTGTGGCGGTGTTTGTCTTTGCCTGGCATCAACACAAGCGCACGACTCTGCTGCTTCTGCTGTTGCTGCTGCTGCTGCTGTTGCTGCTGCTGCATTGCTTCGACTGGTGCGTTTTGCTGCTGCAGATTCCCCAACTGCTGCTGCTTGCATCGAGGCTTTAAAGCAAAAAGGCGGAGCAAATCAGCAGCAAACAGATGCATGCGACCTGCTCATACAGCTCGTAAGCTGCTGCTGCTGCTGCTGCTGTTACTGCTGCTGCCGCTGCTGCTGCTGCTTCCGGTGGAGCTGCTACTGCTGGTGCTGCGACTGGCTCTGCTGAAACTGCTGCTGCTTCGTCTGGGGCTGTTGCTGCTAGTACTGGCGCTGTTGCTGCTGCTGCTGCTGCTACTGCAGAGGTTGCTGCTGCTGTTTGTGCGGCTTTGCAGCGCGTTGTCCCCCCTGAGGGGACGCCTGAAACACCTGCTGCTCCGCCTGCAGCAGCAGCAGCACCAGCAGCACCAGCAACAGAAGCAGCAGCACCAGCTGCACCAGGAGCAGCAGCACCAGCAGCAGGAGGAGCAGCACCAGTTGCAGGAGGAGGAGAAGGAGCAGCAGCAGCAGCGCCAGCAGCAACAGCAGCAGCAGAGGGGGTTCGGCAGCAGCTGACTTACGTAGCCTTTGTGCTACAGGAGACAGCAGCAGCAGCAGCAGCAGAAGCAGAAGCAGAAGCAGCAGAGGCAGAAGCACATGACGCTGGAGCTTTGAAGGAGGAAGACAAAGTTGTCTCCCTCCGTCACAGCAGCAGCAGCATAACAGCAGCAGCAGCAGCTGCTGCTGCTGCTGCTGCTGAGCAGGACCCAGCAGCTTCTGTTTGGCGTTTGTGCGTCCTGAAGCAAAAAGTTGAGTTGGGATCTCGTTCATTTGAGGTTCAGGTATGCTGCTGCTGCTGCTGCTGCTGCTGCTGCTTCTGCTGCTGCTGTTTCTGCTGCTGCTTCTGCTCCTGCTACTGCTGCCTCTCCTCCTCTTACTGCTGGTGCTGCTGCTTCTGCTGCTGCTGCAACTTCTGTCGCTGCTGGTACTGGTGCTTCTGCTGCTGGTGCTACTGGTGCTTCTGCTGGTGCTGCTACTGGTGCTGGTGCTGCTGCTGCTGCTGCTGCTGCTGCTGCATGCAGGAAATATTTGGGATAGACGGGGGCGCGGGCTTTGGGCGGCAGCGGCAGAAATCCATCGAGTGCAACAACGGAGCAGCAGCAGCAACAGATGCAGCTGCAGCAGGAGCAGCAAATGCACATCCTGTTCGTCTCAATTCAAACGAGGAGAACCTCTCCGGCAGGTCCGATGCTGTTCTGCTGCTGCTGCTGCTGCTGCTGGTGCTGCTGCTAGTGGTGCTGCTACTGCTTCTGCTGCTGCTACTGCTTTTGCTGCTTTTGCTGCTGTTGTTGATTGCTGCTGGTGATAGTATTGAAGCAGCTAGAGCACTCCCTAGGTGTTGCTGGTGCTCTCTATTTGGCAGTTTGCTGCTGTTGCTGCTAACTCAGCAGCAGCAGCAGCAGCAGCAAGAAGAGCAGCAGCAGCAACAGCAGTAGCAGTAACAGCATCAGCAACAGAAGCATCAGCATCAGCAGTAGTAACCGTAGCAGCAACAGCAGCAACAGCAGCAGCAACAGCAGCAACAGCAGCAGTAACAGCAGCAGCAGCAGCAGCAGCAGCAGGGTGCGGATTGTGTGTTGCTGCGCAGAGAATGTGTGATTTGTTTGGCTGAGGAAAGGACAACCGCAGTTCTTCCCTGTCGGCATATGTGTCTTTGCAATGAAGTAAGCTGCTGCTGCTGCTGCTGCTGCTGCTGCTGCTGCTGCTGCTGCTGCTGCTGCGTCTGCTGCGGCTGCGACGTCACCTCCTGCTGCTTCTGCTGTGGGTGCTGTCTTTCTTTTTTTGCTGCTGCTGCTGCTGGTGTGTCTTCTTTCTTTCTTGCTGCTGTTGCTGCTGTCTCTATCTCTTTCTTCTGAGGTAGCAGCACTATAACCCTAAACCCGAAACCCTAAACCCTAAACCCTCGCTCAAGCTTGTATGTTTCTTTTTTCTGCTGCAGTGCGCAAGTATTATGAGGCTGCAGACAAACAAATGCCCTATTTGTAGACAAGGCAAGTTGCTGCTGCTGCTGCTGCTGCTGTTGCTGGGGTTGCAGCTGCCCCGGCAGCTTTTGCTGCTGCTGCTCAAGTACAAAGCCCTAGAGGGCTGCTTCCGATGCTGCTGCTGCTGTTGCTGCTGCTGTGTCTGCTGCAGTCGTGCGGTCTCTGCTGCAAATTTCAGTGGGGAATGGAGAAGCAGCTCCCTCTTAACTCTAAGAAGCGCCGTGCTGCTGCAGCAGCAGCCTGTGCTGCTGCTGCTGAAGCCCGTGCTGCTGCTGCTGCAGCCCGTGCTGCTGCGCCAGTTGCTGCGGCGCTTCTTTTTGCTGCGGCGCCCGTTGGTGCTGCTGCAGCAGATTCCCAAGTTTAGCAGCAGAAGTAGCAGCTACTGCAGCCGCTGCTGCTGCTGCTGCTGCTGCAGCCGCTGCTGCTGCAGACACAAGTTTTTTAGGGAGGAATGAATATCTTCTCGAGAACATAAATTTGTCACTTAAAGCGGCAGCAGCAGCAGCAGCAGAAACTGCTGCTGCTGCTGCTGCTGCGACAACACCTAACATTGTCTGCGGAAACAGTGCAATCAGCAGCAGCACTAGCACCAGCAGCAGCAGCAGCAGCACAACTAGTAGCAAGACCTGTGAGGGCACGGCCGTAGCAGCCCCAGCATCGCCACTAGCAGCAACAGCAACATCAGCAACAAGAGCAGCAGCAGCAACACCAGCACGAGCAGCAGCAGCAGCAAGAAAAGAGATACAGTAGAAGGGCTAACAAATGAAGTTATGCATTTTAATAAAATGACAAACAGCTGCAGCAACTCTGCACGAAAGCAGAGATGTTTCTTCAGGTGTACAGACACCCCAGAGGCTGCAGCAGCTCATATCGTTTAGGTTCAACGTTTGCTGCAGCAGATGCAGCAGCAGTGCTGCTGCTGTTGCTGCTGCTGCATTGCCGCCATACGCACAGGCGACGACAGCAGCAGCAGCAGCTGCAGCAGCACACCTTCTGCTTCACTGAGCAGAAGGAGCAGCAGCACCAGCAAGTGATGGTGCTGCTGCTGCAAGCAGTACTAAACCTCTGACTCTTTAGGAGAGGCCTCAGACTCGGGGTGGAGGGGGAGGGCTCGCCCCTGCTGCTGCAGCTGCTGCTGCAGCTGTTGCTGCTGCTGTTGCTGCTGCTGCTGCAGCTGTGTGGGGCTAGGCTTGCTTCTGTCGCAGCGACGCATGCCGTTCAGTGCAACATGCAGCAGCCTCATTTGACCTTTATTCGCGCTGCTGCTGCTGCTGCTGCTTAGACGGGAAGTGCTGTTTCTGGAGGGCCTGCTGCTGCCGCTTCTGCTGCTGCTGCTGCTGCTGCGCCCGTTGCTGTTGTTGCTGTTGCTGTATGGGCTGCTGCAACTCCACCTGCTGCCTTCTTCGCTTGGGTTCAGCAGGAGGCGTGTCATAGTCTGCCCTGCTGCAGCTGTTGGCGCTGCTGCTGCTGCTGCTGCTGCTGCTGCTGCATCAGGAGCAGCACCTACGGCAGAATGGCTGCTACGCGTCTGGTTACCATTGCTGCTGCTGCTGCTGCTGCTGCTGCTGCCTTGGACACTGGTGTTAGTGCGTTCTCCCTTCGAGGTGTCTCTCTTACATCCCGCTGTATCTGCAGCAACAGCAGCAGCAGCAGATGGTGTTGCTGCTGCTGTTGCTGCTGCTGCTGTATGCTCTGGTCTTGGAGACACACCTCCCGAGTCCGAAGGAGCAGCAGAAGCTGGTGGTGCTGCTGCTGGCGATGGCGCAGGCGACTCTGCTGCTGTTCCTGCTGCAGCTGTCGTTGCTGCTGGTGATGCTGCTGCTGCAGCAGCAGCAGCAGTGCTACGACTGAAAGCACGCCACTGGACCTGCTCCACAAGCCACTGTCGTTGCTGCAGCATGTCTCGGTCCCTGCTGCTGTTGGTGCTGCTGCTACTACTGCTGGTGCGGGCTTCTTCCTTCTTAAGCGTTGCTGCTGCTGCTGCTGCTGCTGCTGCTCGTTGTGCAGCAGCAGCTTCTCTGACTTCTTCATTAGTAGGCGCAGCAGCTGCAGGAGCGGAGGCAGCAAACAGAGGCCCTGCAGTGTTGCTGCTGCCATTACTTGTGCTGCTGGTGCTGCTTGCAGCAGCAGCAGAAGCAGTTGATGCTGCTTCCCCTCCAGCAGCAGCAGCAGCAGCAGCAGCTGGACCCTGCAGCAGCTCCTGCCGCTGGCGGCGCAACGCCCCAGGCACATACAGCTGCTTCTCTGCTCTATGCTTTAAGGGAATGCGGTCTCTAGGCTGTCTCCTCCTTGCTGCTGCTGCTGCTGCTGCTGTTGCTGCTGCTGCCTCTGCTGCTGCAGCCGGCTCGCCGTCTGCAGCAGGCGTAGAAGTAGCAGGAGCAGCAGCTGCAGCGGTTGAGGCGTGCGGCGGCACTGAGGCGTCGCTTGAGCAACTGCTGCCTGCTGCTGCTGGAGCAGCAAAGCTGCTTCTTTTGCTGCTGCGGCTGCTGCAGCTTCCGGTGCTGTTGCTGCCGTTGATGCTGCTTTGCACGGAGGAATCTGCTGCAGCAGCAGCATCAGCCGTAGCAGCAGCAGCGCCGGCAGGAGGAGCAGGAACCTCCTGATGTTCCTGCTGCCGCTGCTGTTGCTGCTGCTGCTGTTGCTCTTGCTGCTGTTGCTGCTGTTGCTGCGGGGCATAGTAACCACCATCAGACATCTCCTCCACGCTGTCACACCAGCGGCGTGATGGCGCCTGCTGCTGTTGCTGCTGTTGCTGCTGCGGCTGCGGCTGCTGCTGCTGCTGCTGCTGCTGGCCACGCTGAGGCCTGCTCCGGCTGTTTGCGTGCCCCGCTAAGTTGCTGTTGCTGCTGTTGCTGCTGCTGTTGCTACTTCTGTTGCTGCTTCTGTTGCTGCTGTTTCTGCTGTAGCTGTAGAGGCTGCTGCGTCTCTCTGTAACGGGCGGATCGATGGAGATGAAGTCTTCGTCTCCCTGCAGCAGCACCTGCTGCTGCTGCTTGTGCTGCTGCTGCTGCTGCTGTTGCTGCTGCTGCTGCAGGCCTAGTGCAGCTGGGGTGCTCCCTATGCATGCAGCTCGGCTGCTGCTGCTGCTGCCGCATATGGCGCTGCTCTCTTCGAATCTGCTGTTGTTGCTGCTGCCGTTGTAGCTGCTGCTGCTGTTACTGCTGCTGTTGCTGTCTATGGAGCGAGGCGGTCGGTAGAGTTGCTGCTGCTGCTGCCCTTGCTGCTGTTGATGCTGAGGCTGGTGGTAGTGCTGCAATTGCAGCATTACCTGTTGCTGCTGCTGCTGCGGCTGCTGCTGCTGCTGCTGCTGCTGCTCCTGATCAGTCCTGTGTGGCTGATCTTGCTGGTGCTGCCTTGGCTTCAGCTGCTGCTGCTGCGGCTGCTGCTGCAGCTGCTGTTGCTGCTGCGGCGGCGGCGGCTGCGTGTATGGTGGGAGCTGCTGGGGGAATCTTTGTTGCTGCTGGTGCTGCTGCATGAGGATGTGCTGCTGCTGCGTGTGCTGCTGCTGCTGCTGCTGCAGGCGGGGTTGCTGCGGCATGCCTATGAGGCGCTGCTGCATCTGCAGCAGCTGCTGCTGCATCTGCTGCACCTGCTGCATGAAGGGAGGCACCAGCAGCTGCTGCGGAGACAGAGAAGACAGCTGGTGCTGCGCAGCAAAAGAGTTAAGAACAGATAAAACACTTTGGGGTGTAGCTGCAGCACGGGACAGGCCCGATGCATGCAGTCTTGCTGCAGCAGCTGCTGCTGCCTGCTGCTGCACCAGGAGCTGTTGCTGCTGCTGCGCTGCCAGGTGTTGCTGCTGCAGCAGCATACCCATACAGCTGCTGCTCTGCGCTGCAGCAGCAGCAGCAGCAAACGCTGCTTCACACCTTTCCTCAGCAGCAATCAAAGCAGTAACAGCAGCAAGGGCCTTCTGTCTCTGCTCCGCATCTAGCGGCTGTCTGAGATTGCTGCTGGCTGCAGCAGCAGCAGCAATAGCAGCAGCAGCAGGATCCACGGGTACGGGCGCAGGAGGGAAAGGGCTGTTGCTGCAGCAGCAGCAGCGATGCAGCGCAGCATACACCGTCTGTTCAATGCTCCTCACAAGATCAGCAGCAGCAGATAACCCATTATAGTTGCAGTATCTGCACCGCTTGACGAGGGGCTGCAGAGGCACCCTTTGCTGCAGGTACTGCTGCTGCTGCTGCTGTTGTTGTTGCTGTTGCTGCGGCTGCTGCTGTGGCTGTTGCTGCTGCTGCGGGTGCATGTGGGTGGCGGGTAGATGTTGGAGTTGCTGCTGAAGCTTGAGTTGCTGCTGCAGGAGCATCTGCTGCTGCTGTTGCTGCTGCAGCAGCTGCTGCTGCTGCTGCTGCTCATACAGCTGCTGCGCTCTTGCATACCACCAAGGCGCTGTAGCAGCAATGCGCTGAAGTGTACGCAGCCGAGCATACTCTGTAGAAGACAGCAAGAAGGGGCCGCCGTTGATGCAGTCTCTGCTCCACTCAGCAGCAAGAGAAGCTGGCAGCAGGTGCAGCAGCGGCTGCAGCAGCTGCTGGTGCAGCAGGTGCAGCTGCTGCTGCAGCTGCTGCTGCGGCCGCAGCACCGCTAATCTTGTAACAAAATTACACGGGCAAAATAAAACATTTGTTTTGTCTCGCAGCACAACTGGAAGCAGCAAGGCTGCTCCTCTTTTGCTGCAGTCAAACAGCTGGCTGCAGTTATCATCTGCTGCTGCTGCTGCTGCTGCGCTGCAGCGGCTGCTGGTAAGTTCTGCTTCCTGCTCCTCATATACCTGCGCCAGCTGTGCATGCGCAGCACAAGAACACCGACAACATTGCTGCTGCATTTGTTGCTGCTGCTGCATTTGTTGCTGCTGCTGCATTTGTTGCTGGTGAATGACATCTGGAGATTGCTGCAGATCGTGTGTTTCTGGTGCAGCATTGCATGTGCTGCTGCTGCTGCTGCTGCTGCTGCAGTTGCTGCACCCTTCACTGCCGGTTCCGCAGCAGCAGCTGCTACCGCCGCTGCTACCGCTGCTACCGCTGCTACCGCTGCTGCTGCTGCAGCAGCAGGGAGACTGCAAGGCTCGGCGTATCGTCTGCAGCGGCAGCAGCAAAAACAAATCTCCGTGTACTGTAGTTCTAACATCTCTTCTTGACAGAAATTCGGTCGACCACCAGCCGCCTTCCTGGCAGCAGCGGTGCGAGCGCAGCAGCAGCAAATGCCCTTCAAGTGCAGCAACAAGAAAAGTGCTGCCTTCCTTGCCTACTGGTGATACATACTCTAACTCTAATGCAACGCTTCCTCCTGCTGCTGCTGCTGCTGCTCCTCCTGCTGCTGTTGCTGCTGCTGCTGCTCCGCTCACGCATTGTGATGCTGATGATCCGCTTGAGGCTGCTGCTTCTGCTCCTGCTGCTGCTGCTGCTCCTTCCTTTGCTTCTGCTCCTTCAGAAGAAGAGCAGGCTTCGCCGCTCCGACAGCCGCCGTATGAACCTGTTGCAGCAGCAGACGCATCCAAAGCTCCTGCTGCTGCTGCTGCTGCTGCTGCTGCTGCTGCTGCTGCTGCTGCTGCTGCTGCTGCTGCTGCGGTCGTGCCTCCGCTTCCTGTTTCGGTTGAGCCGCTGCTGCTGCAACTGCTGCTGCTGCTGCTACTGCTGTCGCTATAGGACGAAGCCCCCCAAGCAGACGGCGGCGAGGCCGGTCCCTCCCGTTGCTGCTGTTGCTGCTGTTGCTGCTGCTGCTGCTGCTGCATCTGCATCTGCAGCAGCTGCTGCTGCGGTACTGGCGGCTGCGGCGGCTGCTGCAGCACAGGCAGCAAATAGCGATCATCCTGTATCTCTTCGAATATAGCAGCAACTCCAAGCAGCAAATCTCTTCGGATGCTGTGAAGTTCTTGCTGCAGCTCCTGGGGCGCCATAGGGAGTGCAGGGAGTTTGCTGGCAGCAGCAGCAGCGGCAGCAGCAGCAGCTGCTGCTGCTGCTGCTGATGGGACCTGTTGCTGAGGCATGCCCGCTGGAGTGCTGCTGCGGGTGCGTCTTTCCTGCAGCAGCAGCAGCTGCTGCTGCAGCCGCAGCTGCAGCTGCTGACTCACACTGTGAGAATGAAACAGCTGCTGCAGCAAAGAGAAGCGAAACAAAGCTTTAATATAGCTGTCTAATAAATAGTTGCTGCGGCATAATTCGTAACGATAAACAAGCCAGGTGCCGCTGCTGACACGCGCAGCCATATCTATTGTGGGGTCCCCTCCAGCAACACCTGCTGCTGCTGCTGCTGCTGCTGCTGCTGCTGCTGGAGATACACCCGGAGGACACCCGTATGCTTGCAAAGCTGCAGCAACAGCTGGAGGACTGCCACCAGATCCGACTCCCCCCGCTGCTGCTGCACCTGCTGCTCCAGCTGCTGCTGCTGCACCTGCTGCAGCGTCAGCAGGAAGCAACAGCTCCTGTAGCGCACCACTCCCTGCTGCTCTTCCTGACAGCTGCAGCTGCTGCTGCTGCTGTCTTTGTAGGAATGCCTTGGCGGATTCGGCGGCTGCCGTTGCCTGCGTGTTCCCAGCAGCAGCAAAAGTAGAAGCACGCGGGGAATCAAAAACAGATAAGAGAGACTCCCAGACACCGCCGTGCCCGTAGGCGGAGAGTATTTTTGCTGCTGTCTCCTGCATGTTCTTGGGGGCCCCTGAAACGAGTTGCTGCTGCAGCAGCGCAGCAGCAGCAGCAGAAGCAGCAGCACCACCGGAACCCGGAACACCCCCTCCTGCTGCTCCTGTTGTGTCTCCCGCTGCTGCGCCTGCTGCCGGTGGTGAGTCTGCTGCAGCACCCACGCCGCCGCCAGCAGCAGCAGCAGCAGCAGATGCAGCAGCAGCAGATGCAGCAGCAGGACTAGCAACAATGAAAAGGGTTTGGCTTAAGCCTGCTCGCGAGCGCAGCGCCCTAAAAAACCGCAGCAAAGACAGCAGCAGCGGGTGCAGCGCAGCAAGCGCAGGCTCTGGTATCCCTAGCAGCTGCGTCAGCAGCGTCTTTGGGCCGTCTGCTGCTGCTGCCGCTGCTGCCGCTGCGGCTGCTGCTGTTGCCGTTGCTGGCGCTGGAGATGGAGTCGCCAGTGCTGTCGTTGCTGCAGCAGCAGCTGCCGCTGCGTCTCCCTTGAAGCCTGCAGCAGCGTTAGTATGTGGATGTTGATTGTGTTGTTGCTGCAGCACATTTCTACCGCTTGCACCTCCAGCATTTGCTGCGTTGTTGTTGCCGTTGCTGGTGGTGGTGGTCGCGCTGCTGGCGCCACCGCTGCTGCTGCTGCTGCTGCTGCTGCTGTTGCTGTTGCTGCTGGTGTTTGCTGCTGAAGCCCTGCAAAGAAATGCAACAAGGATCATCCAGACAATCGAAGGCAGACCCCCTTCCTTCATTGTAGGGAGGCGACGATTGCGTGCCCACACCTTCAGCAAACGCATCAGAGGCCTGAGGTGCGGCTGCTGCTGCAGCAGCAGGCCAAAGAATTCACTGTGCCAGACGCTGTTGCTTGTGTTTACAGATACATCGCAGACGACTGATCCGCCGGGTGTACGCAGAGTTAATATAGGCACCCTAGCACTCTCTACTAGCTGCACACGAGCCAGCAGCAGCGGCCATTCACTCCGCTGCTGCTGCTGCTGCTGCTGCTGCTGCTGCTGGTGCTGCTGGTGCTGTTGGTGCTGCTGGTGCTGCTGATGGTGTGGGTGGTGAGGGGGAGGATTAGGAGAGTCTGTTGCTGCTGCTGTTGCTGCTGCTGCTGCTAAGAGTTGTTTCTGTACATCTTCAATTGTGCTGCGTAGGTGCTGCAGCACCCCCACAGCATCAGCAGCAAACCCTCGTGTCAGCAGCACAACGTCCAGGTCGCTCCCTGCTGCATCAACATCATATGCTGTGCTGCCAGCTAAATGAAGAGAAGCCCCTCCGCCTAAAACATATGAGACGAAATGAGCAAGGGTGTTATAAAGCATGCGTTTCTCTTGTCGGGATGCTGCTGTAGGGGTTACTTGCTGCAGCAGCTGCTGCAGCAAATGCTCCGATAGCAGCAGCAAACGGCTTATCTGCCCGCTGCTGCTTGAAGGCACCACAACACCACCACCCCCTCCTCCTGCACCTGCTGCTCCTGCTGCTGCTGCTGCTGCTGCCGCTGCTGCTGCTGCTGTTGTTACTCCTGCTGCTCCTGCTGCTCCTGTCGCTGCTGCTGCTCCTGCTGCTGCTGCTTCACACCCTCCAACCCCAGAAGCAGCAACACCCACAGACCGGTCTTCCTGCTGCTGTGGGGGAGGCGCATGCAGATGCTGCCCCGAGGCTGCTGCTGCTGCAGCAGCAGCTGCTGCTGCTGCTTCAGCTGCTGCTGAGGCGCCAACTGCACCCTCAGGTAATGAGCAAACGAGCGCGGGGACGCCGCTGCTGCTACTGCTGCCAATGCTGCTGCTGCTGTTGCTGCTGCTGCTGTTGCTGCTTCCGGTTGCGAGTCCTTGCTCCTGCTGCATGTGGTGCTGCAGCAAGAACTGCTGCTGCGGATGGTGCTGCTGTTGCACATCCAGCTGCGGCAGCTGCTTCAGCTGCATCTGGCGTTGGAACTGCTGCAACTGCTGTTGCTGCAACTGCTGTTGCTGCAGCTGCTGCTGCAGCTGCTGCTGCATATGCTGCTGCATCTGCTGCTGCTGCATCAGCTGCTGCTGCTGCTGATACAGCTGGATAGACGCCTCAGGCGAACCCCGAAGAACTCCCCCAAGTGCTGCAGGGTGTTCTGCTGCAGCAGCGGCAGCAGCAGCTGCTGCAGCTGCTGCTGCAGCAGCAGCGGGGGGCAGCAGCACCTGCTGCTGCGGTTGTCGAAGCTGCTGCACAGAGCCACGTCCTCGCTGCTGCTGCTGCTGTTGTTGCTGCTGATGCTGCTGATGCTGCTGATGCTGCGGCTGCTGTAGCGGCTGCTGCTGCTGTAGCTGTTGCTGATGCTGTAGCTGCTGCTGCTGATGATGCTGATGGTGCTGATGCTGTTGCAGCTGCTGGTGTTGTTGCAGCTGCTGGTGCTGCTGTAGCTGCTGCTGCTGCTGCTGCTGCTGTGGGATATCGGCGCAGTGGCTGCTCTCAGTGCTGCTGCAGCGGCCGCGGGGAGAACGCAGGGACCCGTGCTGCTGCAGCAGCAGTAGCTGCTGCTGCTGCTGCTGCTGCTGCTGTTGCTGTTGCTGCTGCTGCTTCCCGTTTTGTTCTTGCCATCTCTGCCCTCTCTTACTGTGCTGCTGCTGCTGCTGCTGCTGCATCTGCTGTCGCTCTGCTAACGACGATAGGAGGATAGCGCGCAGCTGCTGTTGTGTGCTGCTGATGCGGAATGGCTTCTGCTGCTGCTGCTGCTGCTGCTGCTCCTGCTCCTGTTGCTGCAGCTGCTGCTGCTGCGGCGCCAGTGACTGCTGCGGTTGCTGCGGCGGCTGCTGCAGCTCGGACTGCTGTTGCTCTTGCTGCTGCTGTTGCTGTTGCTCCAGCTGCTGCTGCTGCTGCTGCTGCGCCAAAGAGATGAGACTACCCCCTGTGTGCCGCTGCCGGTCGCTTGCGTTGCAGTCGCTTGCGCTGCTGCTGCTGCTGCTGCTGCTCCTGCTGCTGCTGCTGCAGTCCCCAACAGAACATGCAGTGCTGTCCTTCGCATCCGCAGCTGCTGCCGCTGCTTCCGTTCCTGCTGCTGCTGTTTCTCCTGCTGCTGCTGCCGCAGCTGGTGCAGCAGAACTTGCAGCATTCACACAGGTGACGTCCAAACTTGGTGCTGCTGCTGCCGCGTTGTCTGTTGCTGCTGCGTTATCTGCTGCTTGTACGTCATCTGCCGCTGCTGGTTGTGCGCTATCTGCTGCCGCTGTTGCAGTGTTATCTGTTGCTGCTGCTGCTGTTGGAGTCTCTGCTGGTGCTGCTACGGCTGCTGCACTATCTGCTGCTGCTGCTGCACCATCTGCTGCTGCCGGTAATGCGTCTTCCGCTGCTGTTGAGTTTTCTGAAGCTTCTGCTGGTGGGTTATCTGCTGTTGCTGCTGCGTTATCTGCTGCTGCTGCTGCTGCTGTGCCTGACGCAGCAGCAGCAGGAGTAGCAGCAACCGCAACAGCAGCAGTTGGGCCCTCCACCAACGCAGTTGCTCCGTCTGCATCAGGCTGCTGCTGCTGCTGCTGTTGCGCCTGCTGTAACTTGCTGCTTTTTGTGCTGCTCCCAGGGCTGGCGCTCGCCTGGCACCTGCTGCTGCTCCTGCTGCTTCTGCTGCTGCTGCTTCTGCTGCGCCGGCGAGGCAGCGGCAGTGTAGCAGCAGCTGCTGCTGCAGGTGTTTCAGCTGGAGCTATTGCACCTTCTGCAGGTGCTGCTGCTGCTGCTGCTGCCCCAGGGCTTTCTGATGCAGCAGCAGCAGTACTTGCTACTGCTTGACTTGCTGCCTGGCTTGAGGCTGTTGCTTCTACCGGAATTGCTGCTGCAGCAGCAGCAGCAAGCGATGAACCTGTAGCTGCGGCTGCAGCTTCTACTGGAGTTGCTGCTGGTGCTGCTGGTGTTGCACCAAACTCCTCTGCTGCTGCAGTTGCTGTGGAGGCAGCAGCAGCTGCAGGAGCAGCAGCTGCAGCAGCAAGAGAATCTGCTGCTTCATTGGCTGAGCTGTCTACTCTTGGAGGAAGAAGACGCTGCTGCAGATCGTCAGCAGCAGCAGCTGCTGCTGTTGCTGCTACAGGTGTTCCTGCTGCTGCTGCTGCTACAGGCGTCCCTGCTGCTGGTACTGCAGGCATTCCTGCTGCAGGCGCTTCGACTGTTGGTGCGGGTGCTGCTGCTGCTGCTGCTGCTGCTGCACCCGACGGTGGTGAGGCAGCAGCTGCCGCCCCCAAACAAACTGAAGGAAGCGGTTCTCCTGCAAACCCCTCCCCACACTCCCTCCTTGCTGCTGCTGTTGCTGCTGCTGCTGCTGCTGCTGTGACTTTCGCTGCTGCAGCTGCTGCAGCTGGCAAGGAGTAGGCGGCGCAGTTGCCGTTGTGCGGTGTTGCAGCTGCAACGCTTGCTGCTGCTGCTGCTGTTGCTGCTGCTCCCGCTGCTGATGCTACTGCTGCACCATCGGGAACCTCATGCTGCTGCTGCCCCTGTGGGCCTTGCAGCGGCGACCGCAGCAGCAGCAGCTGATGCTGCTGCTGCTGCTGCGGCTGCTGCAGCTGCTGCACTTCATCGGCTTGTGGGGCGGCTCCACATACACCTGATTGTGCTGCTGCTGCTTCCCCCTCAAAAGAAATAGAGGCTGCTGAATGATCTACATGCATGGCTAGGCCTCTTGCTGCTGCTGCAGCAGCTGCAGCTACTGCTGCTGCTGCTGCAGCTGTTTCTGCTGCTAGGCAAGTCAGCACACGGCCGCTGTTGCTGTTGCTGCTGCTGCTGCTGTAAGCCACTGCAGCAATATGTGCTGCTGTCCTTATAAGCTAAACACGCATACACCTCACTGCTGCAGGTCGCAGGATGGGCGGTTGGTCGCCCCCCTGCTGCTGCTGCTGCTGTTGCTGTTGCTGTTGCTGCTGCTGCTGCGGCGGAGGGCTTAAGTGCTATCTCACCAGCGGTTGTTGCTGCTGCTGCAGAGGACACCTCCCGCTGCAGTATAAGACTTGTGCAGGAGATAGCGCATGCGTTTTGGAGGGCAGCAGCAGCAGCAGCAGCAGCAGCAGCACCAGTGTTGCACGCCGCAGTTTTACTGCGGCTTGCTGCTGCTGCCTCCTGTGGGGAGGCTAAAAAGGAGAATGCAGCAACAGCTGCTGCTGCTGCTGCAGAAGGTGTGCAGGAGAAAGCTCCAGCAGTAGCTGCTGCTTGTGCTGCTGCCTGCGCGCAGCAGCAGCAGCAGCAGCAGCAGCAGCAACACGAGGAAGGCTGCTCCTGTGCTGCTGCAGCTAAACAAGAAGATTAGCAAGAAACGATATCTTCGCTGCATACAAAATAACCCTTGCCTTTTCTAGGAGGCGCCGCTACTGCTGCTGCTGCTGCGGCTACTGGCAGCTGCTGCAGCAGCCGCAGCAGCAGCAGCAGCAGCAGCAGCACGCTGCTGCAGGTCTTCTGCGGTTCTACGAAGCAACCACACTTTTTAAACTTTTCTTAGCCATTATATCCTTAGTAAAAATTTCTTAGCAGCTTTTGCTGCTTTGAGACGTATTGCTGCTACTTCATTTCTAACTGCAGCAGCAGCAGCAGCAGCTGCTGCTGCTGCTGCTGTCGCTAGGGCTGTTTTAGCTGCTGTTCTCCTCTCTACGTTGTTGCTTCCCAGAGGCTGAAGGCAATCTGCTATTGCTGCAGTGTGTGCTGCTGTTTCTGTTGCTGCTCTGTACTAGCATGTTCTATAGCTGCAGTTACTGCTGCTGCTGCTGTTGCTGCTGCTGCTGCTGCTGCCCCGCATGCACAGTTCCGGATGTGTGTGATTGCTGGAGCAGCAAATTATTGTATAGGCTGTTCTGCTGCAGCACAAATGATTCGTAGACAGCAGCAGCAGCAGCAAGACAACCACCAGCAGCAGCATCCCGCCGCAGCAACACGCTGCTGCAACAGGCGGCTGCAGGCAGCAGCAGCAGCGCGCTGAAGTAGCTGCAGCAGCTGTTGCAGCACGGCCCTCTCCAGTGTGGCTGAGGTGTACGTACACCTGATGGATTGTTTTTGTGCATGCAGAGCACTGCTGCTGCTCCCCACACAGGCCTAGTAGCCTAGTTAGCTGCAGCAGCAGTAGCGCTGCTGCCAAATGCAGCAGCAGCAGCAACAGCAGATCCGCTGGAGATAGCAGCAACGGGTTCAATGCTAGCTGTAGCAGCAAACAGTAGCTTCGGTAGCTGCCGTAGCAGCAGCAACAGCACCTCTAGTAGATGCAGCAGCAGCAACAGCACCTCTAGTAGATGCAGCAGCAGCATTCATCTATCGGGGCTCTGCAGCTCCCAGTAAAGCTTGCTAAACCCTAAACCCTAGCTAGACCCTAAACCCTAGCTAGACCCTAAACCCTCGCTAAACCCTAAACCCTCGCTAAACCCTCTAGCAAAACGCACAGCAGTCTGTTATTCGCGTTGCTGCAGTCTTTAAGAGAGCGACAACACTGAAAGATGTGCCGCCTCATGCTGCTGCTACTACTGCTGTTGCTGCTGCAGCTGTCGGTGCTGCTGCTGCAGCTGCAGCAGCAGCAGCAGCAGCAGATATTTGAAGCGAAGCTTCACATTCCGAGCTTCGTACGTCTCCAATGCCTCCTCTTGCTGTTGTACCTGCAGCAGCAGCAGCAGCAGGAGTAACAACACGCACCATAAGTGATCGTACAGCTGCTGCTGTTGCTGCTGCTGCTGCTGCTGTTGCTGCTGCTGCTGCTGCTTACTTGATCTTGCAATCTGTCTTCATCCTAACCCAATGGGGGATTTGGCGGTTTTGCTTCTGCTTCTTCCCCAGCCTCTTCTTCAGATTCAAACCCTTAATCGAACCCTGCAGCAGCAGCAGCAGCAGCAGCAGCAACAGCAGCAGCAGCAGCGCATGCAGTGGATACTGATAGCCCTCCCCACGCAAACAACAGAGCAGCAGCAGCAGAAGCAGCAGAGTATATCGCACAGCTTCCAATGCAGCACAAAAAATGAAACGAGTAAAGGTTTTCTCTGCGGCTGCTGCTGCTCCTGCTGCTATCTGCCGCTGCAGCAGCAGCAGCAGCAGCTGCTGCTGCTGCTCCTGCGCTTGCTGCTGCCTCAACGGAAGATGCAACAAATAAACCAAAGATGATTCAAAGAGCCTTCAAATGCCTTGGAGGGAATTATGTACCCTCATCAGAGCCTGCTGCTGCTGCTGCTGCTGCTGCTGCTGCCGCTGCTGCTGCTGCTGCTGGGCCGTTCACACCCGCCATAGCAGCAGCAACAGCAGCAGCAGCAGCAGCAAAACTGCACTTTTAAACGTATTTAACTGGTGAAACCAAGAGAGAAAGGCGAAGGGATGCTCAGAAAAGAAACAGCGGCAGCAGCAGCAGCAGCAGCAGAGCCACCCACCATCTTCAGTCGCGCCTTTGCACCGGGCGTTTGCGGTGTATAGGCAGCTATAAATACAAGAAAATATAGAAAAATAAATGTTTTTTATAACAAACGCGGCCTTTCATGCGCCTGCTGCTGCTGCTGTTGCTGCTGCTGCTGCTTGGGGCTGTACCCCACAGGGGCAGCTGCTGCTGCTGCTGCTGCAGGCAGCAGCAGCAGCAGCAGCAGCAGCGCCGCAGCAGCAGCTGAGCAGCAGCAGCAGCAGCAGCAGCGTCACGCGTTGGTGCTGCTATTAGAAGGCAATTCTTCGGTCTTTAATTAAAAAAGCAAATTTGAATTAAAAAGAATTTTAAAATAGCAATAGAAGGCGCTGCCCACATCTGCTGCTGCTGCTGCTGCTGCTGCTGCTGCCCGCGCCCCAGGCGTCCTTGCTGCTGCTGCTGCTGCTGCTGCCGCTGCTGCTGCAGCAAGTGCTGCGAAGACACGTACATACAAACCTTGTTGATAAAATCATATAAAAACAAAAATAAAAAGAATTTATAATTTCTATTGTTATCTAACTAAGGGAACATAGAGTGAACAGCCGCAGCAGCAGCTGCTGCTGCTGCGGCTGCTGCTGCTGCTGCTGCTGCTGCTGCTGATGGGCCATCGACTCGAGAGCAGTGAGGCACGGCAGCAGCAGTAGCAGCAACAGCAGCAGCAGTAAACACCTCCTTTTTCTTACACCTACTTATACTACAGTGTTGTTGCTGCATTATTGTAAGTATTTGTGCTGCCAAGACATTTAATGCAAGCAGCAGCAGCAGCAGCAACAGCAGCAGCAGCAGCACGTTGCTCTCCGACCACCGGATCGGTCTCCGCCTCCAGCTTAACTGCAGCAGCAGCAACATCAGCAACATCTGCTGCTGCTGCTAGATAAGTGCTACTCAAACGCTTCTTAGCTTTTATATTTTGCTGCAGCGGGAGGCAGCAGAAGCCTCTGCTTGCTGCTCCGTCTCCGGTGTACGCACACCGCACACTCGGCGTTCGCTCCCCAAGGGACAGCAGCAGCAGCAGCAGCAGCAGCAATAGCAGCAGCAGCAACAACAACAACAACAGCAAGATTGAGTTCCGCTACAGCAGCAACAACGGCAGCAAGTTGGTTTTCAGCTGCAACAACAGCAGCAAGTTGATTTTCAGCTGCAGCAACAGCAGCAAATTCGCTGCTGCTGCTGCACATGCAAATGAGCAGCACCTGCCGCTGCTGCTGCTGCTGCTCTCCTGTTGCTGCTCCGTTGCTGCTGCTGCTGGATTTTGATAGCCGTTAACGAGCAGCAGCTACAATGGCGAAGAGGAATCTGCTGCTGCAGCTGTTGCTGCTGCTGCTGTGTGCAGCAGCAGCAGCAGCAACCGGACTACACCGCAGCCTAAACAACTTCTCCTTAGCTGCGTCCAGCACGAGCAGCAGCAGCAACAACAACAGCAGCAGCTACATCAGCGAGAACAGCAGTACCATCACCGCCGGTAGCAGCAGCAGCAGCAGCAGCAGCAGCAGCAGCAGACTCCAAGGGTTGCGGCTGCATGCACCAAATGAAATTCCGACGTCGGCGCTGCAGCTGCGTTTAGATGGAGAAGAAAACAAAGTGCTCCGCACCCTTTGTAGGCCCGTGCTTAGGGTTTAGGGTTTAGGGTTTAGGGTTTAGGGTTTAGAGTATAGGGTTTAGGGTTTAGGGTGTACGGGGTAGTGTTTAAGGTTTAGGGTGTAGAGTGTAGGGATTAAGGATTAGGGTTTAGGGTGTAGGGATTAGGGTTTAGGGTGTAGGGATTAGGGTTTAGGGTTTAGGGTGTAGGGTTTAGGGTATAGGGTTTAGGGTGTAGGGTTTAGGGTTTAGCAGCCCCTATGGGGGCTGTGGACCCTAAAGAGCGCTGAGCGCTAAACCCTAAACCCTAAACCCTAAACCCTAAACCTCAGTTGGCACTGTACAAACCCTAGGCAACTACCGACTCTCGACCCTGCTGCCTCCTCGCTTCGCGCTCCTTTCCCTTTAAACCCTAAACCCTAAACCCTAAACCCTAAACCCTAAACCCTAAACCCTTGTTGCTGCTGTTGCTGCAGCTTACGAAGTATTTGAGAACAGCCGCGAGGAGTTAATTTGCAGCGTTGGATTCATAAAAATAAAATCGGCGGAGTGGAAGTCAGGAAATAATTCCTGTTCCTCTGTATGGAGCTGCAAATCTGCACTCGCGACCCTCTGTAAACCCTAAACCCTAAACCCTAAACCCTAAACCCTAAACCCTAAACCGTAAACCCTAAATAATAACCCCTTCGTTTTAGATTGGAAACGCTGAAGAACCCTTAGTCTTGAAACCTAACATCGTAGTCTAAACCCGTAGCCCTTAACCCTATATCTAAACCCTAAACCCTAAACCCTAGGGAAACGCTGGACGATGACAAGCAGAAACACTAAACCCTTAGCAGCAAAACCCCAGCAACAAAACAGCAGCCTGGGGTCAGTAACTGCATGCGGATTCAAGAGAAAGAAATGTATACTCAGGACTAGGGTTTAGGGTTTAGGGTTTAGGGTTTAGGGTTTAGGGTTTGGAGTGTAGGTAACGACAAACAAAACTGCAAGTTTCTGCCTGCTGGAAAAGCATCGGCTGCTGCGGACTCCTCCGGCTATGCATTTGTCTCCGTAAGGGTTTAGGGTTTAGGGTTTAGGGTTTAGGGTATTCTTCTGTCTCTTTTCTCTGTCCCTGTTGTGTCTTCATATGTCTCTCTCTCTCTCTCTCTCTCTCTCTCTCTCTCTCTCTCTCTCTGTATTTCTCTCTACTTTTTGTCTATTTTATCTACATATATATATATATAAATATATATTTATGTAGATGTATCTATATATACGTATATATATATATATATATATATATTAATATATATGAATGCTTGGGTTTGAGTATATATTTCTTTGTGTACTTCTTCATCCGTCTCTCTCTTTTATTTATTTATTTATTTATTTATTTATTTATTTATTTATTTATTTATTTATTTATTGTTTTATCTCTCTTTGTTTTTACTTCAATCCATCTGTCTCTGTCTCTGTTTTATGTGTCTCTGTTCGCCTCCTTATTTGTTTTTGTTTGTCTCTGCAGTGTATGTGCTGCTGCTGTTGCTGCTGCTGTTACTTTTTGCTTCTGCTGCTGCTCCTTGCGGTGTATCTGCTGCTGTTTACTTCTTTTGTTGCTGCTGTTGCTGTTGTTTGTATTACTGCCTCCGTATGTATGTATTGCTGTCTCCGTTGTTGCTGCTGCTGATGTGTTGTGTCGTACTTCTTCCTGCTGCTGCTGCTGCTGTTGCTGTTGCTGCTGCTGCTGCTGCTGCTGCTGCTGTTTGGGGTGTATGTACAGTGCGGAGAGATATGCCCATCTGCTGCCAACGCCATGAGGGTCCTTCAGGGACAATTCGACTGTAAGAAAGAAACAAATTAAAAATAAATTAATTAAATTAATTAAAAATAAACTAAAAATAAATTAAAAATAAATTAATTAAATTAATTAAATTAATTAAATTAATTAAATTAATTAAATTGGTTAAATTAATTAATTAAATTAATTAATTTAAGTAAATTAATTAATTTAATTAGTTTAATTAGTTAATTTGTTTATTTGTTTATTTGTTTGCTCGTATATATATTTTATATATACGTATATTTATTTATTTATTTATCTGTTCTGGTTGCTGCTTGTTATATCTACCTAACCAGCCAAGTCCTCTAAGGGTTTAGGGCTTAGGGTTTAGGGTCTAGGGTTTAGGGTTTAGGGTTTAGGGTCTAGGGTTTAGGGTTTAGGGTCTAGGGTTTAGGGTTTAGGGTTTTCGCAGGCGTGCAGCAAAGCAACGCGCAGCAAGTGGTTGGGGCCTCTGCAGGAGGTTTTCTTACAGAGTTTTCAGACATCACCTGGGACACGCTTCTTGGTGCTGCTGCTGCTGCTGCTGCTGCTGTTGCTGCTGCTGCTGCTGCTGTCACTGTTGCTGTTGCTGCTTCTACTGCCGCTGTTGCGTTTGTTGCTGTTGCTGTTGTTGCTCTTGCTCCTGCTGTCTTTGTCGCTGCTGTTGCTGTTGCTGCTTCTGCTTTTGGTGCTGCTGCTGTTGCTTCCGTTGCTGCTGTTCCTGCTGTTGTTGTTGCTGCTGTTGCTGCTGCTGTTGCTGCTGCTGGTCTCCAGGCCTTGCAGTGTCTGCGCGTTTGCTCACCGACATTCTGCTGTCTCTTCATTTCGCGTGCTGCGTTCCTCTTTTTCTTTGTTTATATTTGTCTTGTGCCTCTGCTGCTGCTGCTGCTGCTGCTGTTGCTGCTGCTGCTGCTGCTGCTGCTGCAGAGACAGCAGCAGCTCCTTCTTCTTCTTTGATGAATGCTAGTGGAGGAGAAGAGCCCTTCTACACCTCGCATATTAAAAGCACAAAGAGTTTCTTCATCCACTCTGATGCTGCAGACTCAGACATTCAGTAACCAACCTGCTGCTGCTGCTGCTGTAGCTGCTGCTGCTGCTACTGCTGTAGCTGCTGCTGCTGCTGCTGTAGCTGCTGCTGTAGCTGCTGCTGCTGCTGCTGCTGTGTCGCTGCGCCTTCTGCTGCTGCTGTTGCTGTTGCTGCTGGTGTCGATGATGTTATTCCTGCAGTCTCTGCCCCTACTTCTGCTGCTGTTTCTGCTGCTTCTGCAGCTGCTGCCGCTTGTACTGCTGCTGTTCTGCTGCTGCTGCTGTTGCTGCTACGCCCACTGGCGTGCTGACTATTGCGACCACTATTGTTGCTTCCGTGCCTGTTGCATCCTTGCCTACTGCTGCTGCTTCTGCTGCTGCTGCTGCTGCTGCTGCTGCATCAGGGCAGCTATGTCTACGAGCGGAACTGTATTCTCGAGTGCTGGAGTGAAAGACTACCTCAGCATTTCACCAACAAATTATATATCTAATGTCTGGTTCACTGATGGTTAGGCTTTAGCTGCAGCAGCAGCAGCAGCAGCAGCAGGAGTAGCAATAGCAGCAGTAGTAGCAGCAGCAGCAGCAGTAGCAGTAGCAGCTGAAGCGGTGGCTCTAGCCGTCGTAGAAGTCGCTGCAGCAATGTTTGCAGGCTGCCAGCAGCAGCAAACGGGGCGGCAGCAGCAGAAGCAGCAGCAACACCAACAAGAACAGCAGCATCACCAGCATAATGAACAGCACCTCCATCAGCAGCAGCAGCAGCAGCATCAGCAGCACGATCAGCAGCAACAGCAGCAGCAGCAGGTAGATTTGTTGTGTTGATGTGTCTGCGTGTGCTGCTGCTGCTGCTGCTGCAGCGGGCTCTGTTGCTTTGCTGATTACACCGCAGCAAACATCGCAGCCTACGACTTTAATTAATTCAGGGAAGAGAGACACCGGCACCTGGACTGGAAGCAATAAAACATATGTCACGGAGGTAGACTCAAATGCTGCTGCTGCTGCTGTTGCTGTTGCTGCTGTTGCTGCTGCTGCTGCTGCTGCTGCTGTTGGTGGTGGTGGTGGTGGTGGTGGCGGTGTTGCTGCTGCTGCTGCTGCTGCTGCTGCTGCTGCTGGTCTTGCTGTCTTGCTGCTGCTGCTGCTGGTTCGTTCTGCTGTTTTTGCTGGTGCTGCTGCTGCAGTCTGCTGCTGCAGTCTCCTTCCTCTAAGTCCGCTTATCTTTGCAAGCGGGGTTTGCTGCTGGACCTCGTTGCTTCCACAGCTAGCTAGCTAGTTAGCTAGCTAGCTAGCTAGCTAGCTAGCTAGCTGGGTATTAAGTGGGGTGAAGTGTATTGGGGCTTGTCTTTCAGGGAGTAGATTTTGTTTGTGGAGGGAAAGACACCTTCGTCTACACTGTTGGCCTTACAGTAACCCTAAACCCTAAACCCTAAACCCTAAACCCTAAACCCTTGCTCTTAGGCTTCCCATCTGCTCTAGAATCGAGAATAGCAGCGCCCTGCATGGCTCTTCTGTCCTCCCCGCAATGCATGCCGCGTGTCGGTGGTTTAAGCTTTTTTGGGTTTAGGGTTTAGGGTTTAGGGTTTAGGGTTTAGGGTTTGTGCAGGCAAGGAACTCCAGCTTCCCAGCGAAGGTATATTGCAGCAATGCGAAGTCAAAGGGCTGCATAGGAATCACGGAGTTAAACGACACCCTAAATCAAGAAAGGCCTGCCTCAGTCATGATGGCAGGTAGGGTTTAGGGTTTAGGGTTTAGGGTTTAGTGTTCAGGGTTTAGGGTTTGGGGTTTAGGGTTTAGGGTTTGGGGTTTAAGGGTGATGTGCGCAGGGATCTCCTGCCACCCTAAGGGCACTTCGTTTGCTCTTTTGTTTACTGACGGCACCGTCTTGGCTATGGGCGAAGAATTGCAAGGCGGTGAAATGACGGCTGAAGTCAAGGTGAGGGTTTAGGGTTTAGGGTTTAGGGTTTAGGTGGAGGGCAGGTAAGGTTTAGGGTTTTAGACTTGGGGTTTCTGCTTCGACTCCGGATGAAGTTTAGGCTCCCCGCGAGTCTTATCCCGTTCTCGCTTGCTGTTCAAGGCCGGCTCAACCTAGGGTTTAGGGTTTAGGGTTTAGGGTTTAGGGTTTGGGGTGCTGCAGAACGGCCTGGGCAGGTTCGATGCCTCAAGGAGTCAACGCGTGAAAACCATCGCTGCAACAACAGGGGCCTTTGCTGTTCTTTTGCACAACGGATCTGTCTTTGCTTGGGGAGACACCACAGTCGGTAGGGTTTAGGGTTTAGGGTTTAGGGTTTGGGGAGGCAGCGGTCCTTTCGGTGTTTCCGGATACGGGTTTTTTCTTTCCCTAGGGCTTCTGCAGCTTCAAGCTAGTCAAACGGAGTATGGGGCCCAGGCTAGGCTTTTGAGGGTTTAGGGTTTAGGGTTTAGGGTTTAGGGTTTAGGGCGAGGAGGGTTTTGCAGGAGGAGAATTACCAACCCCGGAGCCCAGCGACTGCTCTGAACTGGTGCGTTACAACCCCGCACACGAACGGCACCTGCCTTGGGGTCTAGGGTCTAGGGTTTAGGGTTTAGGGTTTAGGGTTTAGGGTTTGGGGTTTGTGCGGGCAGATCGCAGCCGACGTAGGGTTTGCTGCTATGACAGCTGGGGGCACCGTCTACTCCTGGGGAAAGGGCATCGTCCTTCCAGCTCGTGTTAACACTGCAGCGTTCCAGGTAAGGGTTTAGGGTTTAGGTTTTAGGGATTAGGGTTTAGAGTTCAGGGTTTAGGATTAAGGGTTTAGAGGTCAGGGTTTAGGGTTTAGGGTTTAGGGTTTAGGGTTTAGGGTTTAGGGTTTAGGGTTAGGGTTTAAGGCTTTTTTGTCGGTGTATGTGGCTTCAGGCGGCCTCCATATGGGCTGAGAGGACTTGCTTTGCTGCTATATCCACTTCAGGTAAGGCGCAAGGGTTTAGGGTTTAGGGTTTAGGGTTTAGGGTTTAGGGTTTGCAAGGGGTTTCTGTGTAGCTCGGTTTGCACGTGCTGCAGTTTCTTTGTATTCTATTCCTCCAGCGTAGAAGGTTTATGGTTTAGGGTGTAGTGTTTAGGGTTTAGGGTTTAGGGTTTAGGGTTTAGGGTTTGCGCTGCTGCAGGGGAGTTGGCAGTGTGGGGGACCAGCACAAGTTCTGCCCCCTTTTGCAACGAGGGTTTTACATCATCAGATTATGTTTCTTTTCAAGAGGTTAAAGATCGTCTGTCATCAGGAGTTAAGAGTCCGCAAACTCTAAACCCTAAACCCTAAACCCTAAACCCTAAGCAGCTGTCAGTTGGAGAGTACTATCTGTCTTTTTGCGTGTATATGCACGGAGTTGTGCATGGTTCAATGCTCCCTAGGGTTTACGCTTTAAGGTTTAAGGTTTAGGGTTTAGGGTTTAGGGTCTAGGGTTTGTGCGCAGTGGTTCGCTTCAACGAGCGAGCAGCAGCAGCAGCAAGACAGCGGGAAGCGACAGCCACAACGCAGACATCGTGGGAGTTGATTTCGTGGGGCGATCCCGAGGCGGGAGGAGTCGCTCCCAACAGCCTTCATTCTGTTGCTAAAAACGGAGTCAAAAGTGAGGGTTTAGGGTTTAGGGTTTAGGGTTTAGGGTTTGCGCGATACGGGGTAATGCGGGGGGGGGGGGGGGCGGGG